GCTGTGAGCATTCTCCACACTGACTGGTGGGAATCCTCTTCAGCCAACCTCGACTGCAAACAGCCATGCCTGCAAACCTTTTCCCCCTGCAGTCATCAGTTCCCTCTGCTTACTGCAGGGATCAAAACAACAACAACAATAGGATCCCTGCAAGTAATAGTAGAAATCCTCCTTCACAGAATATAATTACATCCAGAGATGCTTCTCCTTCATTCATCTTCTGTGAACGTAGCCTTTCCAGGAGGAGTTGATGCAGCTTGCACAGCGGGTCCTCTCTCATTCCCCATTTGTGCAAGTTTTCAAGTGTCTTTCTTCTCTCTATTCTATCAAAGGTGAGTAAAATTCTGATGACACATTTATTCAAGTTTCAGTATTGTCCATGTTACTTACACTTTTTTTTTTTGCAGGTGGCTTCACCTTATTAAAGTAAGTTATTACTTGAAATGAATCAATAATAAGGATTTAATATTTATTAATGGTGATTTTAAATTGATGCATTTCACTCACTGGCTAGTTCTTTGTTTTGTTTCATCTTCCATCATCCGGGAGTTCCTCCAACAGAGCTCTGTTCCGTTCTCTGGACCAGGAGCTCTGTTCGGGGAACTCCTGGATGATGGACAGGACACCCGACCCGACCAGAAGGACGGATGACCAGGGACCAACTGGAGAGAGGTGGCGTGTTTTCAGTCCGCTGACTCAGTAAGTCCCCACAACGACTACAAAAGTACCAACAGGAACGCAAAGTAGTGATGAGCTAAAGTTAACTTTAAGCAGGTTGATGTATTGTGTGAACTGAAGGCGCCTGTAGTTGTCCTGCACCTGCAACACTACACATTAATTTATGGCTTCATATCTATAGAAGGAACACAAATAGTTATTGGAGGTTTAATTCAACTGAGCAGCAGCTACCAACAATGCAAAGCTTGATTTTCGTGCGTGTTGTTCTGTTTCACAGGCCACCATCCGATCCAGACGCTCCTGCCTCCAACACCACCCTCTCCAGCCGCTGGGGGGCGTCCTGGCTCTGCCTGCACAGAACTAGTTTTGGTCATGTGCTCGTTCTGTGCCGGTGGGTCCAGGAAGCTCCCCACTATGCAACACATGGACACCCAGAGGAAGCTGCCACCTCGTTGTCTCGGAGCTCTGATGGCCAGCCAGTGAAGAGGAAGATGTTTCCAGCAGCGTTTCACCGTATATGAATGCATAATGTTTAATGTTTAATGTAAATAGTCAGATTTAACTTGTTTCATTTACGATGTAAAAAACATTAATGTATAATGTTTATTAGAACAACTTTAAGATAAGCTTCTAGATTATTTTCATGATTGTATTAGCATGGTTGGTCGGTTGTTAGTTTTTAAGTTTAATAAATGTGCAAAATTCGTATAAACGTGTTTTTTCACTTTTTAACTTTAGGTTATTGATGAGTGACTATGATCATTTTACATGTTCGTCACTATTTTGTTAGATGTTGAATATAGTCAAACAATGAGATGTGACGTTAGAGTGTGTTCTGTGAGATGTTCTACTTTCTCTGATGGTGGATCAATGTGGAGCTTCTTCAACACTCAATCAGATGCAGGAGTCGCATCTGTTTAACCATCAGACAGATGTTATGAGAGGAAGTCACCGTTTCAGCAGTCAGCAGACTCTAAAAACACCTGAGACTCAGCATGGAACATTGGTGGTACTACTGGTGGTAATACTAAGAGGTTTATACTTCAATGAAAACGTGATTATGATGATGTTTGGAAAGATTATTTTGAAAATTGGTGACTAACATTCACCCGATTATTTAAAAAAATAAATGCTGGCAAAACAATTTTTTAAAAAAACAAAAGCTGATTAACTTTTAAGAGATAACTAGTTTTAATAACTAGTGAATTAAGCTTAATTCACAACTAATTTTAAAAAAATATATAGATTTTTTAAAAGATTAATATGCACTTTTCAAAGCTGTTTTAAAGAAGCTAATGATTCACTTGTAAAGAACTATTTAAATATCAACTTTTTTTTTTAAATGACTAAGGAAATTGGTTCGTCTTAGTTATATTTTAAAAGATTATTTCAAAAATAGCTGTTAAAAAACTAGCTGACTACCTTCAAAAATATTTTTTTTTTCAAAATAGAAAACTAGCATTTACATGTTTACAAAAAAAAAAAGAACAGATGATGAACTTGAAAAATTCTAAACATAGGTGATTGACTTTAAAAATAAACAATATAGGTGATTAACTTTTAAAACTAGAAAATTTCCTTGCAGAAAATTTGAGAGTGCCACGGGAGTCTGCCGGGAT